CCTTAGCACTAAAAGCAAAACTGCCCCTGGGGTAAAAGAGACCCAGTGGTCCATCTTTGAGGCGGCAAGTTGTCATAGGGTACCCAGCTCTCTCAGTTTTTTCAACACTGTCCTTCCTGCCAGTACAGAGCCACTGGGAGGAAGGTGGCTGAGGCGCTGGTGACATCCAGGGCATGCAAAGTGCAGGTTAAGGAAGCAGATGAGAGATGCTTAAACTGAGCCTCCCTGCCAAGGACCATCCCTGAAGAGTTTGTTGGACACTATTGTGCAACCTCTGCTCCTCCAATAGCAGCTTTTCTATTAGATGAAGAATTCAACGTATGAAATGCTAATGTTTAGAAGATCTCCTTCCTCCCCCTCAGAGGAAGATAGCTGAATCCTGGGTAAAGGCCAAGGGAGGGTAGCTGATTAATAGGTACTGTGATGATTTTCTGATTCCTAAAATTTTGCGTACTGTTGTTTCAGAATCCCCCAAGAATCCAGTCCTATAACTGGGTAACCGTGCCTTTGGTTCAGAGATTGTTTCACGGCAGAGCTGTAGTTCTGAGTGATGTGGCTGAATCCTGGGACACTCATTTTATTGGTAAACCCTACTCTGCTTAAAGGAATATCAATGACGACCAGTTACCGAGTGTGTACCAGCTGCCGGCACAGCAGTAGCACTTTACGTGGTCATTCATTAATGGAACTAGTGTCTATTGAGCGTCAACTCTATGTCAGGTATCGTGCCAAGTACTCAATAGCTGTCATCTCACCGATTCTCAAAACAACCCCCAAAGGTAGATGTTACTCTTCCTACTTTTTAACTCAAGGAGACTGAGGTCAGATCAGGTGAGTAACTTGAGTAGCATCACACAGCAAGCAGTAGCAGAGCACTGATTTGAACCCGAGTCTGACTCCAAGCCAAGCTCGTCCCACGACCCCATGCCGCAGATGAAGAGGGGAGGACAGGATCAGATGAAGCCCTCAGCTGACCCACTGGGCCGCCCCAGGTAGGGCCTGAGCTTCCCCATCCTGCGGACCAGAATTACAGGACTGAAGTTGGATGACTGGACCTAGAGCAGGCCCCAGGCCTCTTCTTGTCTGGGTCACCCAGCCCTTGCAATGAGGACTAAAGGCTCACTTCTCTCTGTGTGTCTGGTGTGTCTTTGGGGTGCCTCCTGTGCTGACAGCAAAACGTGGCAGTAACTCTCCTGGAGAAGAATGCTGAGTTCTTTTGGCCGGCTGGGTCTGGCAGCTGCTCCCAGGCCCAGCCTCCTTGGCTCCGTAAGAGAGGCGGGCACGCGTTGCTCTAGGCATCTCCCTCAGACGTTAGAGTGGCAAATGACCAGTCTGTCAGATCATCAGCTTTGGGTCCACACGCAACACTCTCAGGCCAGGGTCTGACCTCCTTTAAAGGCTAAAACAGGGCCCACTTACTCAGAGGCCTACAATCCCCAGCAACAGCCTTGCCAGACGCATGGGTCCCTAAGGCACCCTCTCACCCAGGCATCAACCCACACCAGGTCCTACCTTCAAGTCCCGGCTGTCTGCCTCCCGAAGCTTCTGGAGCCTGAAGTCTCCCTCACAGGGATTGAGGGCGGATGGCGGTGCAACACAGGCACACTTGCAGGATGAGCCTGAGGTGATGGTTTCCACAGTGTAGAAGTCTTCCTTCCTGGAGGTCCCCTCGTTGACCCTTTGGCAGGCGTCTCGGCCCAGGGGTCGCACTACACACTTGCACTGACAGTCCGAGCCCTCAGACACGGCCTTAACTTTGTCATAGTCTCCGAGCAACTAGACAAAGAGAGAGAGAACAGGTTGAGGGTGTGCAAACACAGGCATCACTTAGGGTCCTGAAGAAGGCTCTCCGTTCACTTTGTCAGGTGTCCTGCTAGCCAGAGACCTCAGACAGCTCTGATGTGGAGTTGAAAAGGTCATTGCAACACAATTTGCTGACTCTAGCATTTCCTGGGAGGCACTCAGAGTTCAGCTCTCTTTGTTTACCTTGGAAAGCTGTGCATTTCTCAGGGGGCCTTAGCCTTTCATCATTTAAAGGAAAAAAACAAATGAGCCCTGTCATCCTTCCGGTAGTCCTTGCCTTAGCTAGAATCCAGATTTAGATTGAAAAAGGAAAGGAGAAGGGATTGATGGAGGGATTGGAAAACTGACATTCCAATTTCAAGACTACTGGCTTCTGTCCTCCTTCATTCATTCACCATTTATTGAGTGCCACCTGGGGACTGAGCTAGGTGCTGTGAGAGGTAAAGCAATGGGCCAGACAGAGAGACTGCTCTCAAGGAGCTTACCGTGCAGGAGATATATACATAACAGTCACACCAATTAGGGAGTGTTAAGGCCCCCTGAAGTGGGAGTGCAACGGGAGCTCAAACAGAGGGCCACAGAGAGTGTCTCTAGCCGGGCACCAGGGAAGACTTCTTGGAGGAAATGGTATCTGATCTGGTCTCAAAGGATGGGTTAGATTTGGAGAAAAGAAACTGGAAGGAGAGAGACAGATCCAAACGTCAGTAAGGTTTACTCAGCCCAAGGGTTCATACGGATCCTAGAATAGCTTCTGCACCCAAACCCCAAGACAAAGCCAGGAGAGCGAACTGGCAGCACTTGCGGCTTCTACAGCGCTAAACATTTCCTTCTGAGTGCTTGCCCCCGCCGGCCTCCCCAGGCAGGAAAACACATAACAGCAGGCTTTCTGGAACCACGATCCTAGGCACTTGCTGGGGAAAAGGCTCCTCCCCAGCTCCTCTCCAAGACATCCTACATCCCTGAAGTTAGGGCTCCCTTTGTGGGCACGGAGAAGGGTTCCCTTCATTTGACTAATGACCCTGTCAGGCAAGCTTTGAGCTTGTTGGAGTGGATATGTTCCTGGGATGCTGTCGGAGGGGGAAAGAAGTCTCGTTATGTTTTTTTTACAAGGGTTGGGTTTCTGCTAATACTAATATTTGTTTTAGGACTGTTGTCAAATGCAGAATGGACCGGTGGAAGAAGGAGCTGTGTAGTTCAGGGTGACTTAATTGGCCAGTCTTTATGTGCTGAGAGTAAATCGTAGCTGTCTGCTCCCTGAGACTCTGCCTAGATTCCTACATATCCGTGCTCTGAGAGCTTGGGTGGATTCCTTCCTATCAGGAGGCTCCGGTTTCAGGAAGGCTTTTGTTGATGGTCCTCCAGAGCCCCAATGTGAAGGATTTATATGTCTTTTCGATTTGGGGGTCAGTGTGAGGTTATGGGTGAGTACAGGGCATGTATTAGCATAATTATTAAAGGAAGGGTGAGGAGACTAGTGCTTGATAAATGCCAAGCGTTTCTACAGAAAGGAGCCAAGGACCCCAGTCCCAAGGCTTAGCGGAGGTACGGCAGCACTACAGGAACCCTTTCTCAGCCATCCCTCATCCTTAGGATTATGACGACACCCACCACACAATCATCATGCAGGCTCTGGAAAGCATGAAATAAACACTCTAGAGAGAACTGTCTTTTACAAGATCTGAGTTGGGACAACCGTGAGATTGTCAGAAGACCTGGCTCTACCCATCTCTAGGACCCTTTACTCTTCTAAGCCTTATGGTCCTTAACTATAGAATGGGAATGAGGATTGTGTGGGGACCGAGTCAAATAAACCGAGTGAAAGTACTTCATAAAAGGATACGTTACAGATCCTGTCCCTATCAGCTGTCACTCCCTCCCCTCCCCACTAGCGTCTGCCGGACCTGACTGGATCTGCATTTCCATCTCACCTTCTCAATATGGGGGGGACTTATCATCAGTCCCTCTGTTTGGGGGCATCTCATATTCCTCACACTTGTTGCTGTTCTGTTCTCTCCCTGGGTGTCTCACTCTGAGCAATGAAATATCTCCCCATGGGTTACGCCATCTGCCGCCTGTCCAGCATGCCCGTCTGTTTTCACATTCCAATTCTGACAACCAGCCACACAGACAAGAGATGGCCACACTTTCTACACCCCTTCAACCAAAAGGTTTTGATTTTTTTTTTCTTCTCAGGGAGTTGTGTGGTGTCTTCCCTTCCTTCTCCTCTCCTTTCTCCTGATTCTGTAACTTTGAAAGACCCTATGATTTTGAGAGGAGGACCCATGTCCCTTTGCTTAAGAAAATATTCTGATAAAGGAAAACTGCCCTCCCCTTTGGTAATGGAGGGAGAAAGGCTGCTTCCGAACGCTTCAGCAAGGACCATCTTAAGGCTCTTGCCACTACCCAGGGCAAGAGGGGGGAGCATGGGACTCGCAGCCTACCTGAGATAAAACGTTCTCCTGGTTGTCCGCTTCGTTTTGCAGAGTCTCGTCCTCCGTGGGCGCCACCGTCTGCACATCTGGGGGCTCGGTCGTCCCAGTCGGGGGAGTGCTGTACCCCCAGCCCAGAGCCATAACCAGAGCGAAGCAGAGAGCTAGCCGCAAAGACTTGGCCATGAGGGACGCGACAAGAGGGAGCTCGGCCCCTTCGGAGAATGGCTGGGGTCCGGTGGGGTGGAGGGGGGGTGTCTCGGCAAGGACTAAGGCGAGAGGGTGTCTGGCTGGAGCCCGAGAGTGGCTGCTCACAGCGCCTTCCAAAGCTGGGTGCGGCTGAGCGGGGCGGGAAGATGCTCCCTAGAGACCCTGGTCATCTCCTTCCCAACGCGATCAGCCCCGACCGTGCGGCCCCGGTAGAGAGTGGGGCGCAGGATAGGAGGAGGTGACGGGGAAGGTGGAGGTGGTAAGGCTCGCCGAGCGCGCCGCCCTCTGGAGAGGGCTCAGGTGGAAGGAAGGGGTCCTGGCAGAGGCGGGCGGGGCGGGGCGCGCGGGGGCGGGCGGCTGGGAGCCTGGGGGCGCAAGGGGACCCGGTGGGGGTGTGGGGCGGGCAGCTGCGAGGGCTGCTGGGCGACTGCGCCGCGGAGCGCTGGCGCGGAGGGAGGGCGGAGCCTCTATTGTGCCGGGCAGCGGGGATGCAGCAAGTTACGGCGCGGAGGAGGAGGACCGGATAGCGCCCGGGGCTCCGGCGGAGGGGTTCCTGGCCGACCCCGCCCCCCCCGGCCTCAGCTGCTGCGCACGCCCTCCGCGGGGGGGTGATGTCGCCCCTTTCCTTCATCTGACCGCAAATGATAAAGGGAGAGAAATCACCCCAAGCGGGATCCCTGAACTTTGGAGATCTCTTGTGCCCATTCTCGCGGAGAGGAGCGAGTTTCCTCTGGGATGGGAGGTAGGCAGCGAGAACTCTCTCCAAGCACGAGCAAGTATGGATGGATCCTCAGCATCCTCCTTTTATTGCATCTGGAGGAGAGATGGAACATTTACTGTTGGACGTTTCTTTTCCCTGACTTGACTTTGGGAAAGATATTTGGCAGCTTTGAACTTAGCGCCATCGGTAGTTTGCTTGCCTGCGGCAGCTTTAGAACCTGGCAATACCTCCAACCAGAGGATAGCTTTTTTTAACATCTTTATTGGATTATAATTGCTTTACAATGGTGTGTTAGTTTCTGCTTTGTAACAAAGTGAATCAGCTATACATATACATATATACCCATTACTCCTCTCTCTTGCGTCTCCCTCCCACCCTCCCTATCCCACCCCTCTAGGTGGTCACAAAGCTCCAAGCTGATCTTCCTGTGCTATGCAGCTGCGTCCCACTAGCTACCTATTTTACATTTGGTAGTGTATGTAAGTCCATGCCACTCTCTCACTTCGTCCCAGCTTACCCTTCCTCCTCCCTGTGTCCTCAAGTGCATTCTCTACGTCTGTGTCTTTATTCCTGTCCTGCTCCTAGGTTCTTCAGAACCTTTTTTTTCCCCTAAAGATTCCATATATATGTGTTAGCATACAGTATTTGTTTTTTTCTTTCTGACTTACTTCACTGTGTATGACAGACTCCAGGTCCATCCACCTCACTACAAATAGCTCAATTTCGTTTCTTTTTATGGCTGAGTAACATTCCATTGTATGTATATGCCACATCTTCTTTATCCATTCATCTGTCAGTGGACAGTTAGGTTGCTTCCATGTCCTGGCTATTGTAAATAGAGCTGCAATGAACATTGTGGTACATGACTCTTTTTGAATTATGGTTTTCTCAGGGTATATGCCCAGTAGTGGGATTGCTGGGTCGTTTGGTAGTTCTATTTTTAGTTTTTAAAGGAACCTGCAGGGCTTCCTTGGTGGCGC